TCAAACTGGTAAGGGATTTCGTTTGAAGACCACCGATATTTAATAATATGATGGTCTTCAAACGAATTCGCTGGCAAATTCGATGACTGGATTGGGCGGCGTAGGATCTGCTGGTCATCTGACTATGGGTTGAGCAATACGTTAGTTTTGACCTAGTTTGAGCTTCATTCGTTAAGTAGGAACAAGACGATGCTTCTTTTGAGCATCGTCACTAAACAAGCCGCCCTCGTTTTGACATTGTTTTTCGTTATTATTGTTACTAGGTACTTTGTTATCATACACAGCATTAACGAGGACCTGCTTCCAAAACAAGGCAGAAACGCTCCAGCTATTTTTGGGACGTGGTAAAAACTAACCGACACCTGGTAACTGTCATCTGACGAACACAAAACAAGCCAGGGGCTCGCAGCGTGTGTCAAAAGTAGGATGCAAAACTAGTCTGTACCCCCGACATTTAGCGTTGAGAATCATTTGACGAGGGGCTAGTCAATATTTTTTACAGTGTGGGTAGAATTGGAGCAGAAGTTTCATTTAATGGGTGCAAAATAACCCAGTAGTTGACTTCAACAAACGCCCCTTAACCCAAATCACCACCTTTCACCTAAAAGTTGTCAATTTAATTTTGGCCATATTCCAGCTAAGTCATCAGGCCATCTACCCCATGTAAAGCCCCCGTCTGTCTCTTATGTGAGTTATGCGGAGCTCTTCTGAATTGAACCCTGAACATAATGAACCTAGCTATGTTACATGCCACACTGACACCATATTGATATGAAAGTGTTGAAAATGTGCTATAAATTTGACAACTTCATTAGGTATGCTTTATGAAGACAGCAGGAAATCAGGTAGGTACCTTCTTACCTGCCTAGATGTGTCACTGGCTACCAACAGTACCAACGAAGGTAGATAGGTGTTCGATGGTGCCTCACTGTTAACGTATTTCATGTGATTGACGGATGCCTGATAATTTGCTCTCGCGCAAAGACACGTGGATGGAAAATAACGATGAATGGGAGATGGTTGGAGAGAGGCAGGGCTGTCTCATCCCTATCTCCGTAACGTGTCGTGTGCGACCAATGACGTCACGGCATTGCGGCGTTCTGATTGGGCGGCAGCTCTGAATCGCCCGACTGGTGGTCCCCGCTCGACAAGCGCACGTGCGCCGACTAGGCATTTGCAGTGGCATTGACGGCAGAAAAAGTGAGGTAACGCAGAGCTCTGAATATACTTGAATAGAGTCTAAGCCGTTAGTAATACGTAAAAACGTCAGATAGGTTTCTTGTTCGTCTTGATTTGAGCTTTTATGTGATATAACTTTTACCTTAGTGTCGAGGTTGGCAGCTATGTGGGAGAGCCCTAAAGTTGGGTCATTTTCCATAGGATTGCATTACAGCCGTCCGACCCTTCGTACCTGTGACGTCACGGAAATCGCTGCTTCGGCCTAATGAGCATACCTTCTATATAGGGCCTTGGGAGAGAGGAGGATACACTCGGTTTTTGGAGGAAGTTAACCGTCTTTTATATTCCATTTATATTTTATATTACAAGCTATTTCGGCCTTTTTCCTTGTATATACGGATGGTAAAATGGCTCTAAAGAAACGTAAAGCTAACGATCACCATGACGAGTATAACGACACGATCGATACGAACGGAATAGTGGATGATTGTTGCAAGGGAAATAAAAGACATGGGAAAGGATGCGAAGTTTGCGAACCTCGGTGGATTCAGGCTTCGAGAAGAGCATGACTTCAAAGCCTGTGAGTCGAGGGTGAGCCCGCAGCGAACGGCGGCAGCCTCGACGAAGACACGCTTCTAGTTCTACAGCGGCGACGAGTGCAGCTGGGCGCCCACTCGGCCGTCCGCAGTGTCGGTGACTGGGCCTGTGGAGGTACTCGAGGAGAACCCTATGCAGTGAGATGGCGCTCTGTGTGCCTGTCATCTCAGCATGAGTGGCGTAAATGTGACAACCGGATTTCTGTCCGGCAAGAAGTTTTGTGGAAGCCTTCGAAGGAGCTTGGAAGATTATCTCGTGGTGATGTGCCAGATTCCTCAGTGGTGTGGTTAGATGCCGAAGAACAGATGGGGAAGACGGTGCAGATCCAGGGTTAATTAATTATCCAACGGTGCCTGAGTATGTCCGATGGTGACAGAAGCCAGGCAGAGCTCCAGATTTGGATCGTCAGTGGTGACTGCCATGCGACGACTCCTTGGCATATTGGTGACGTTCGAGGCCGCAGCGACTTTGGAAGTCAGGGGGTGGTGTTAAGGTGCAGTAGAGGATGTTCGGCACCGCAGAGTGAGTGACCCTTGAAGGTCAGGGGGTGGTGTTCGATGGTGCCTCACTGTTAACGTATTTCATGTGATTGACGGATGCCTGATAATTTGCTCTCGCGCAAAGACACGTGGATGGAAAATAACGATGAATGGGAGATGGTTGGAGAGAGGAGGATACACTCGGTTTTTGGAGGAAGTTAACCGTCTTTTATATTCCATTTATATTTTATATTACAATAGGTTATATGTGAAGAATTCAAAACATTTTATTGCAATACAATTTGAAACTGTTAGGACTGGGGGATAGGGATGAGCATTAAAAATATATTTAAAAGGAAATGGAAAGGACAGGGACTCTGGAACCACAGGATAAGTTAAGGACAAAGGAAGAAGAACAAGGAAAATTAAATGCCGTTGGTGCGAGGCGACGGGTGCGACTGCGAAAAAACAAAGAAAACGTTTTGCCAAGAAGTATGCTAAGCTTTTATAAATCCTTATTCTACGTCTTTTGATTTTTTGGTAAGATGACGTCATTGATTATCATGTAGTATGGTAGATCATCATAAAATAAATCGGTTGTACAACACCAATTTCGTTTTAATTATTATTTCATTTGAAATAAAACCACTTAATAATATTCGGTAAAATATTTTAAGGAAAATGAAATATATTAAATACATATGTTATGCCTAGGCTCTCAGGAGAAAAGGATCAACAAACGTTCTGCTGCAAATTAAACAATGCAGCAAATTAGCTATTAATGTAAACGTAATTAGCGAGACGAAAACGGCGCTTTTGTTTCAGTTATTTTTGTAGGGGTTTCAGATATTTATAGAGTTCAGTGGGTTGTTTCTGAGGAGATGTGGAGATGTGAATTAGTAATGAATCACACTTTATTAGTATATAGGGCCTTGCACTTTGTCATCTGGATTAAAAAAAAGTTTCCTGCTGAGTGCAGAAAGGTAGGTAGGTGCATCGCCAGGTTCTATCACAGGATTGGAGCAGTTATTGCAGTTGAAAGTCAAAGTTGGCTGTTCATGTTTAGGCCCTGTTCTTTATTTGGCCATCTACCCCATATTGCAGTTGTGATGACAAGCAGTTTTCAGTGTAGTTTTGTGATCTTTGATGTCATCAATTGGTGTCATTATTTTTCGTCAACTAAAACTTATTTCAACTTTCCATTCAATCGACTCAATCATACGAGTCACTCTAATTTTCGGGAATCAAATCAGTCAACCAGTCGCTAAAGTCAAACGAGTCAGTCAACCAGTCATCTCGAAAAGTCAATCGACTCAATCCAATCAACTCAAAATACGCGTTGAATCAAATCAATCAATTCAATCGACTTGATTGGTATACAACCCTGGGTGATACACCCACGTGTGACGTTGCTGTCACTACCGCGCGGGGATCGCTGGTTACACCTATTTCGGCATTGCAGTCTCCTCAGTAAGCCACTTTTTCGACGGGTGGCCGTTCAACCAATAAGATGCCTTTGGCGACAAACGAGCGAGCGTAATATTCAACCCTGCACATGCGCATGTGCAAAGTGAGACCAACTACTGTCTTTCGCGGACCACGCTTCTAACCGATCGCGTTCGGCGCATCAACTTTGGGCGCAAAAGGCCGAATCTTCTTGAGATGTAGAAGCGGCCTCTGCACGTGCGCACGTGCAGTAACACTCCAGTCTCAACTAAAACGCATAAAAATGCATCGACAGGTAGGTGCCCCGTGCCCATCGAAAGCCCAAGTTTCAGCGCAATCGACTCAGTCATCCCAGAGTTATTATCAATAACTTTTAGCTTTAACACCCCTCATTTGCCGCGTGTTACGAGTCGTGACGGTCACCCAAATGTATCGAAAGAATCAATGACTGAAGGTATAAAGCGATCTGATGTAGCAGACCGCTTGTTGATAGGTGAAGGAAGCCGTTCCCAGAACATAAGACGATAAAAATCAAGCTTGATCTGGTGACAGAAAAATTATAAGCTTCATAAATACAGGGTGTCCCAGAAAAAAGTACCACATTTGTTTAGACAATATATTTTTTGTTATTCGGCACTAATGCTTTAAACGCATATCAAAAGCGAGCCAGTTCCATGGAGATTTATTTGCGCTACAAATGGACCATGCCACTCCTTCCTGTCACTCACACCGGCACATGTTCGAAGTGCCTGCCTTCTTGGGCCAGGCACCGCTCCGCCCTGCACCAGGCTTCCTCTGCGACCCGAGCACATGCGGAAGGTGGAATCGCACGAATGGCCGCGCGAATCGCCCGTTTCAGTATCGCTAGGTCTTCTGGTGCCTCCTGATACACCACACTTTTCAGATAACCCCACAGGTAAAAGTCGAGGGGCGTGAGGTCAGGAGAGTGCGGCGGCCAGGTCACCGCGGCCCGCCGGGAGATGACACGCCCCTCTAGACACTCGTGCAGCCAGGCCAAGTTGGCGCGTGATGTATGCGCCGTTGCGCCATCTTGCTGCAGCCATTGCTGGTTCAGGGTGTCCGCACAACTCGCTGTGAGTGCCCGCAAAAAGCGTTTAAGCATGGTAAGGTAGCGCCGGGAATTGACAGTGACCGTCTCGCCAGCACCATTTTCAAACAAGAATGGGCCGATGATTCCCTGCGCGCTCAACGCGCACCACACAGTCACCTTCGGGGAATGCAGCGGAGCCTCGAGAACTTCCTCTGGTGGCCGTTCCGCCCAAAACCTGTAATTTTGGCGGTTCACTTGCCCGTTCAGATGAAAATGGGCCTCATCAGACCACCAAACACAAGACAAGAAGTTTGGGTTGTTTGTGCACTTTTCCAAAAACCATTTGCAAAATTGTTCCCTCTGCTCAAAATCCGCAGCAAACAGCTTTTGAAACACTTTAAGCTTAAAGGCAGATAAGGCGAGATCCTTCTTGAGAATCCTGTGAGTGGAGGACTTGCTGAGACCGACCCTAGACGCGAGGCGCCGCACCGACACTTTCGGCGTCTGACCAACCTGCTCTGCGACCTTTCGTATGGCCTCCTGGCTGCGAGATGTTTTTTTTTCCGACCACTGTTTCCGGCATTCTGGTTACTAATGGACCCTTCTGCCAGAAACTTCTCAGTCAGACGCTGTATGGTCTTTATCGTTGGAGCTTCTCGGACCTTAAAATGTCTGCGATACTGCCTTTGCGTTAAAACGGCTGATCCGTGTTTGAGATAAAATTCGACTATTTTGGTTTTTTGTTCAGTATTAAACGGCTTCATGACTGACAGAGCGCTCGAGCCATACAACATAATTTCCATGAATGACGCTTTCGATTGATGTTAAAATTTTACATGTCACGCGCATATTTTTCTTTGTACTCCTAATTTAAATTTGGTACTTTTTTCTGGGACACCCGGTACCTTCCAGTCTTTCCACTAACTTCACTAATCTTTTCACTGACTTTCTTTTAGAAATTTCCACAAGACACTTCGATTGAAAACCCAGAAAAACAGAACACCAAACTGACGTCCAACGTCATATGATCACTTCCTAGCTATCAAGATGCCACAAAGTGGTCCCACCGGGCTGTCTGCCGACAGTGGGCGGAGCCGGCAGAGAAGGCCTTGGACGGCCAGGACGGAGCAGCTCCACTATAAAAGCCGGTCCGGTCGGCACCACAGCATCACACACCTCGCTGACGGCTAGCGACATGAACGCTCTGGTAAGTGCACTGTTTGGCTTTTGATGCTCTTCTTGGGCTCTTATGATAGCATTCACTACTTGGTTTGCATTAATGTTCTCACAATACTGTTTTAAAGTTGTTGTTTTCTTGTCAACTTGTATATTCATATTTTCGGACACCATATCCATTTTGTTAACATGGTGTTTTTTTATCATCAGGTGGCTCTCTCCGCCCTGGTGGCTGCGGCTTCGGCCCAGCTCGCCCTGCCCTACGCTGGCCTGTACAACGCCGGCCTGTACCACGGCTACAACGGCTATGCCGGCTACAACGGCCTCTACCCGGCCGGCTACACTGGCTACAACGGCTTCTACCCCACCACCTACGCCGGCGGCTACCACCCGGCTGGCTACGCCGGCTACGGCTACGCCGCGCCCTACAGCTACGCGTCCACCTACCACGCCCAGGACGAGCTGGGCCAGGCGTCGTACGGACACGTGCAGGCCGACCAGGCCCACTCGGCCGTGCGCGACGCCTACGGTAACGTGGTCGGCAGCTACAGCTACCTGAACCCCGAGGGCGAGACCATCACCGTCAAGTATACGGCCGGCGCCAACGGCTTCCAGGTGGCCAGCAACGCGCTGCCCGTGGCGCCCGTCGACACCGGCGTGGCGCCCGTCGAGACGCGCACGGCGCCCATCGACACCGGCGTGGCGCCCCTGCCGGTCGACTTCACGCCCGAGGTCAAGGCCGCCACCGCCGAGCACCTGGCCGCCGTCGAGGAGGCCAAGAGCCGCAACAAGCGCAGCCTGGTCTTCCCCACGCCGTCCGTCTACGCCGGCGTGCCCGCCTTCTACTCGGCCGGCTACGGTCTGGCGCCCGCCCCGGCCGTCACCTACTCGGCCGGCGCCGGCTACCCGGCAGAGCTGACCGAGGTCATCCTCAACCCGGGACACGCCACCGCCTACCGGGTCGACCCGGTCGCCTAGAGCGTCCGCCGCCCGTTCATGTCGCTAGTCTGTCTCTGGAGTCAGCCGTCCGTGCGGTGGGCGGCGGTCAGTGCGAGTCGCTCCGGCTGCGGCCGTCAGCGGACGAGCAAGTGGGCCGACAGGCCGCCGCGGCGCCGGCGCCGTGTGATCGCCGGCGTCGCAGCGCGGTGGCCGCTGGCCACAGTGCCCGTCCCGGCCGGAGCGGCTCGATCAGGACCGCCCGCCCGACACACGGACTCGCCGTCATCAGACGCAGCCAACGCCGTTATGATTGACGACGACGACCACTGTTTGATCCCCCTGTGACTCTGACGCACGGTTCATTGGTGTATAGTTCATCTGCTGAATATATACATTCACTTTCGTATTGGAATCTTTCTACACCTCATCTAAAATATGAAAGAGAACCGCCGAAAATGTAACCGGCATTGAAACGGAAACCTATCCTTTTTGTCATCTCGAATCAGGAGGCCATTAGAGAAAATCAAAACACACGCATCTTTCCTTTAACGTATACGAACGATAAATGAAATATTAACCCGCGAGTATTAACTCGCGGCCCCTTGAGGGTGACCTGAAGGATAATATAAGAAATTAGGGCCATAGACACCTTAGCAAACTAATTAACCCGTGCATGTCCTGATTATATTCCATAACGAGAGTAACGGGAGAGGGCTACAGAGCACCCATCCTTTCTCTGAAACTACTGGCTCGATTTTCAAAATTCAAACAGCGTCTGAAAGCTGTCAAAACTTTCCGGCAAAAATTCATTGACCTCGACTTTAACGATGACGTCAGAACTCGGCTTAAAGTGAAAATTAGCAGCATTTAAGGCAAGCGTGTATGTAATTGGTACCTACGTTTCAGGCCATAGCTATGTCAGGTTCAGTTTAGTTTAGTTTAGTTTAGTTTAGTTTATTGAGAGCATCATCAACGGGCATAGGAGGCCCAATTACAGATGAAGTCGAAGGTTAAAAATACATACCGTAAACCGGGGTGAGTTGATATGGGGTGGTGAGTTGATATAAATTGCTCGAAAAATGTTAAAATGTGTGCTGCTCATCCATTTGTAAACCAATTTTCAGTTTTACTTTTTCTGTGAAGTGAAGCAACCAATAAGTGATGCATATAGCTGAGAAAGGCATGCATGTGGTGCAGTGCCTTCTTAACACATTACTTTTTTCAAAGTCCTTTTTTTCTTCTGATTTTGAAACTAAGGAAAAGTCCCCACCCTACAGCAAAGACGGTGGATATTCATGAAACACCATGTACTGGGAAAGAAACTACCATCAATTTACTGTTGATCCCAGGTAGTTTTGGGTTTCACCTATAACAACGCTTTTTTATAATTTTAAGAAAAGTGACAGGTGGTGAGTTGATATGCCATCAAGTGGTGAGTTGATATGCATGATAAAAGCTGATACCAGGCTGGTAGGCATGCAAATTAGCATGAAATATGGGTCTGCAGGTAAGACAAAGTCAATTAGACCAACTCTTCTCCTTTTCTTTCCCCACATCATTCCATCAACCCCCAAAAGCTTTAGTTTTTTTTTTCTGAATGCTTGAGACGAGGCCTGTTAGTATCACTGAATTTAGTTGTCGGACTTTCGTCCCCGTCTTGAGTTGAGATGTTAGTTTCACAACGTTTCAGCCAGTAACTTATCCGGCCATAGTCAAATCTGCCTCGATGGTGGAGTGATTACAACCGTGGACCAGCACCGGAAAAACCCGAGTTCGATTCCCGCTGACTACAGGAACTTTCGAACTGTTTGACGCGTACGGCGCAACGCCACCAACATCCAGGTCCTTCTGAGGGTCAAAGAACACCTGACGAGTGACGACGGCCGGAGAGTAACTGGCCGAAACGTTGTGAAACTAACATCTCAACTCAAGACGGGGAGGAAGGTCCGACAACTAGCATCAGTAACCCCAAAGTTTTTTTCTGTGGACATACCTAACATGCAAAAGGCACAGCACAACTCCCCGTCAAGTCTCAAGATGGCTCCCTACAAGCTACAAAGGAACACTATAGAACACCTATATACATATAGATTAAAAAACTGTTATAATTATTCGTAGTTTCGAAAATGACAGAACTGTCGTTTATGTATGGCTAACAGCGCGGGAATTCTGATCTCGTGAAACTGATTAGTTTTCCTGCTTGGCAGTTGCCAACCGAGAATGAGTGACAAAATGAAATGGAACAAACAATATAAAGAAATTGACTGGTGTTTTAGCCCTCGCCCGTATTCGTGTTTTGCCAGCGTTTAACGTATAGGGGGGGGGGGGGGCGTTGGAATCCCATCGTCGTTTGGCCCCTGGTGGAGCTAGAGCTTCGCGGAAAAAAAAATGAGCGTGTTGCCCGAGACGCGAGGAAGCCGATGATAACCAACTTTAAGGTCCTAGGTCATTGGTTAACCTTCCAGGCCAGGTCAATTACCCAGAAGTCGGGAAAATAGGGGGTTATTTGAAGTTCGTAAAGCGAGTTTATTATTTTTTGGCTGTTGCTGATCACGAATGTCATGTTAGTTTTGATCACAGATGTCTTCGTACATTTAGGCCAGGTCAGGTCAGGTCAGGTCAACCAGTAGGTGTCCTGCCGGCTATCCATAGGGAGTGTCAAGTGTCAACTACCACTGACGGTGTCGTAACATGTTACGAAGGCACTAAAACTACTTCATAAATGATCAAATGCATGTTAAATTCGAATTCGGCCCGAAAGAAATTACCCTGGAAACATGTAAAACACCAAAGGTGAACCAAGGTCACCAAATGTCAATGACCTGACCTGACCTTCAGGTGACCTTGACAGTTGATTGACACCCACAATACTGCGTGGGACCAACATCATTTACGAGTACATGTTTGGATGTTACAATCACAAAAAGACTGGAAATGCGCGGATAACGTGAGCCGACTACGCCAAATCGCGATTCCGGCCAAGCATGGTCTCGAGAATCAGGTCACAAGTCAAAAACCATTTGAGTCAGGGTCATGAAATGTTTAGAACATGTGTAGAATTGATAAACTCGAGAGGTACTGAAAGTTTCGTCGTGATCGGTCGGTTTTTGCGCGAGTTATGTGCGAAAAGCCGAGGTGGTCCGTTCGCCCGCCTATAAGTGCGAGGGTTAATTTTGGCTTTTGACGCCGAATTCTGTTTTATGTCGCTTATTTCACCTTATAGAACACAGTCCGAATTAGATTTGCTTTACTTCACTTTATTAATATTTTGTTGACTACCGGTCAACAAAAGCTCAGAAGTATATGTATTCTTTCATTTCAATCCATTATCTCTGTCAGAGGCATATCAACCTTGACCCGCAACTGACAATGTGTTTTAATTGCAAGAAAATACACTTGTAATTCCAAAATATATTGCCAGTTTTGATACCGTTGGCTTGAGGACACGTGACTAGCCAAGTTCAGAATGTTCTAAGTAAAACTAAGTATCATAAAGCGAAAAAAATGATGCTGCTAAAATCAAGGCATTTTGATAGCGCTGTGTTGGACATGATTGCGTTTTCATGAATGTGTGGTCTGCTGCCAAACTACTACCATTTTTCTGATGGTTTCTTTTAGGATGTGTTCTCACATCCTTTTTTTAAACACTGGCATTTTATCAACTCACCTCTGAGCTTCTTTAGCCGAGAAATTTGGAAAAATCCAAAACCATATCAACTCACCACCCCCCAGGGGGTGAGTTGATATGAACTTTGGCGTTTTAAAAAAGGGGCTTAATATATACATTTTTTATTCATTTTTGCTGATTGCCTCCCCAAGGTATGTGCCATGAAACTGGCACAAAAAGAATTCCGTAAATGAATGTGACTTTTAAAGAAATCTAGAAAAACCTCAAAATCCATATCAACTCACCCCGGTTTACGGTACATCAGTCAAAAATGGTCACGGAAATTCAAAGTCATGTATGGGTCATGTGACGAAGATTTTATGGCCTATTTTTTTTGCCAAAGAATCCGAAAACAGTGTTCGATGTTCGGTCCAAAGCCATTTTTAGCTGGTTTTACTAAAAGGTAAGGACATTGAGACTTGTCCATTGGAAAGGTCTCAAAAGGATGCAGCCGAAAGCAATGAAAGTTTCGTGTTGAACTATTTAGCAATTTTAACCCGGCAGGCGGTGGGCCTCCCGGCCACCTTCCGCGAGGGGGGGGGGGCATTTTTTTGCCCCCCCCCGTATCTCCGAAACTACTGGACGGGTCCGGAAAATTCAAACGGCATTCGACAGCCCTGTCAAATTTGTCGAGGGAAACAAAATTTCATTGACCTCGGAGTCACCGATGACGTTACAGGTCAGGTCAAAGATAAAATGTTTCAACGTTCACGGGGCTTCTAGGGAAAGCACTATAACACCGAGTAAAACGCATTTTGTCGAAAATCAGCGATAAGGCGTCAGTTGTCTAGTACATATGTTGCTATTAGAGGTCACTGGTCATACCAGGTCAGGTCACAGGTCAGGTCACCAAAGGTCACCAAGGATCCCCACATAAACCCAACTTTACTAAGGTTGTGCTATGCATGTTTTACGGCCAGTTTTTCATTTCCAACTCAATGGTGGTGGTTATAAAATCATCAGGTACGATTTAGGTCACTTTCTGGTGGAGGTCAGGTCAATGTCAGGTCAAAAAAGGTCAAATTTCAAAGTTGATATTTTTGCATAAGATGGGTATTGATTCGATGCAGCTCGTCACGGGGAGTCTAATGGTGGTCTTTGTTTTGCGCTACGAGGTCTAGAATTGCTTAAATTGAGTTTGAAAATTTGACGTCATCAATTTTGAACAGTTTTTTCGCTATAACTTGGCCAAAAAAAGAGGTATCGATCTCAAATTTGGTATGTAGATAGAAGGCGGTAGGGACTATCATACATATTCCGGTTTTTTTTCGAAATTCAAAAAACTTTTTGGATTTTTCGGCTATTATATTCAAAAAATCTATTTTTTTTATTTTTAGGGGTCAAAATCCAAAAAAAAAATGAAAAACCGAAATAGCAGTTTTGTAGCCCTCTTAATTCCACACCTTTTATGTCTGAAACATTTTTCTGTATCTCTAAAGCTGTAGGCCTGGCAGTTCTTCCCGCGAAACCTTTCTTTTTGGGTCGAAAATGGCAGAAATGACGTCACTCTGACGTCATTAGCGGCCAACCTATCATAGCCTTTGGAAAAAAAAATTGTCACCATGTGCGCTAGCTACTCCCGGGAGGGTACTGAAAGTTTGGTGACGATCGGTGCAGCGGTTCTCGAGATATATCGAAAAAACTAAAGGGGGGGGCAAAAAAAATGCCCCCCACCGCCTGGAAGGTTAACCCTCGCCCGTAAACGGCGATCTGCCACCTTCGCCCATGCAGGGGGGGGG